CTGTATGGTTGTTAGTGTACACTTTATTCTAATCAAAATCTAGGCTGGAGGACAGATCACATCCAATTACGCTATAAAGACTCTTTCCATCTGCACAAGAAGTAACAGACAAGCCCAAGAAGAGGTGGTGAAGTCAGATAAAAGTAAGTGGCAACTTGATTAATTGGAGGCTGAATGCAGAGATGTAATCTTAGCATCATCCAATTACTTCCTTCTCTAGAACAGAACTGAACACTTTTACACTTGCAAGATTTAAGCCATGTTTTCTGAATAACATGGCCTGACATAGTGCTTAATGAGCCTTAGCTCTGTGTGTGGATGGAAACATGCGCATCAGATAATGAGCCTGAGGTAGAGAAACTCTGCTTTACTTCTGTAAAATGGCTTGCTATACACTATTCACTTTGGCCAGAAATCTGTATCTGTGAAAATAATACTTGTAAAGTTCAACTGAGTTGGGTCATATTCCAGAAGTTAGTGGCTAAAACAAGCAACTTCATTGAAACATCTAATTTCAAGAGGTTGAGATTGTTTATAGTTTGCTTCAACTTATATGTGGATATTTGGCTTCATAGTAAAAAGAAATGTGTCTGGAGATGGAATGGCAATATCAGACAGGTAGGTGTCTTGGAGCATTTTTGAGTTACTAATATCTGCTCTAGTTGTTTGGTGTAACACTACTTAGATGACTTTAAAATCCAGGTTCAATTAATGCTTATGCAGTTACAACTGAGAATACTTAAATGTTATCTAAATGGTTGAAGCTGTCAAGAAATTGTCAGCTCATGTAGTTCAACTTGAACCCTAAGGATTTACACTCATTAAAAGCCTCTCAGAGCACCGTCTTCCTTTTGTACACCCTAAATTAGTTTCACTGTCATATGCAGATGAAGCTTACATTACCTTAGATTAGTGATAGCAATTCTCTTTGCTTTTGCCAAAACTCTGGATATTCATCTTTTGAAAAGTCACTATTTCTGTCATCTCAGTTTGCCAACCCAGACATAGCTCTGCTGCTAGGAGCTCACTGAAATCAAGCTATGAAGCCTGTGACATGAAATGATGTTCTAGCTGGGCCAGTTAGTTCACCTTCACTGGCCAGTGCTGGTACCACTGTGGCAGTCTGGAGCAGCCCTCCCTTTTCAGAAGGTATTTTTGCAGCAGAAAACTGAAGAAGCCTAATGTGATTAGGAAGAACAGATGGGGACGTGAAAGCAAATAAAATCAAACTTACATAACCCCAAGGAGACTTGATGCATGTGAAGGCCATGGGTGTATCTTATTTTGAAAGCAGCCTCTTCCTAGACTGTATGGCCTGAGGAGATGGGGCTTCTGTTCACAGATGCCAGCAGCAGCCACTGTATAACTCTGTGTCAGGAGTGTAGCCCAAATAGTCTGCTGCTGTACATTATGTTAGGTTACAGAAGCACAGGGAGCTGAGCTGCTTTGTGTAAGCTAAGCATACATTTATACACACACAGAGAGCTTTTTTTATGTTCCTTTTCCTTTTTTTCCCACCTGCTCTTTCCACAATCTCAGCCCTGTTCTTGGTTTGCTGGTATGGTAGGGTGAGAGGGGTTGCTTTTTCAAGTTCAGTGCAATATCCCTTAGCAAGCAACAAAGGTGGCATGTTCAGTTTCAGGGGAACGCTTAACAAATGGAGAGTAGAGTGTAGGTTGAATTTTGTGAGAAAACTCTATAGGTAGGTGAAGCAGGACCGGACCTTGAACCTTGCTAAGAAATTCCCTTGCTCTCCAAAGTTTTCTAGAAAAAAAATCTAGAAAAATGCACTCCGTGGAACAATGCTTGCTCTCTAGTAGTTTAGGTAAAGGCAACAGAAAATATCAGTGCTATTTGAACAAGTCTGTGCTTTCTGTACAAAAAATCACTCTTGTTCACAGGGTTCAGTGTGCTGTTGAAGCTCTTGGACTCAGAGAATGAAATCATTGTGGGAAATGCTGCTTTCTGCCTTGGCCAGTGCCTCGTAGTTCCTGGAGCAGCGACATCCTTACTGAATTCCAATGTTGTGATGACTTTGTTGAAACACGCTGGTGGTGATGCTACAAGAACGTCAGTGCAGGAAAATGCTGCAATTGCTCTGGGGAAGCTGTGTGTTGCTGAACCAAGGTACTCCATAAATAAATAAATATTTTTCTTCTGCACTGTTCACTTGTTACTAGTTGATAATTCTTGAAAAACTGATATGGGAACTTACTTGGGATCTAGAGCCTGTTGGGAGGAAAGGAAAAATGGGGAAATCTAGTAATGCCAAAATAGAATAAGTCAATTCCATCCATAGACCTGGCAGGTACGGAGCAGATGAGGCATTTGTTTAACTATCCTGTGAAATGTATCACTCTTCCTCCAATGGAATTTCCATTCGTGGTACTGTCCACCCAAGTTTGCTTTAGGAGTTTTGTGTTTTTAGTTGTCTTATTTAAGTTTATTCCTTCAGTTTATTTCACATTGTTTGATGTTGCTTCTGCTGGAAGAATGGGAGAAGCGGTGTTCCCTCTGTAGAGGTCAGAGAAATGAGCGCAAAACCAAAGTATAAATGTCAGCAAAGAATGCCTGTGCTGCTGCCTGCCAAGAGTGTGCCAAGTCCTAGCTAGCTGCAAACTGTCAGTTGGACACCAAGCTGCATTCTGGTAGAATTGAATTTCAGCACACTTACTATTCCTGCAGAACCACTGAAGAAAGCAAAGGATAACGTTTAGGTTCTGGAAGTTGAAGTACTTCGCTCCTGCTGGAGTTCTCAGATGAGCAATAGCTGAACTATCTGCTCTGAGATTTGCAAAACGCTCCCCAGATATGAAAGGGAAAGACCTTGTTTAGTTGCTTCTGTTAATTTGAAATTTCAACTATTTGAACAACTGTCAAATATTATATAGAACTTGTGTTTTCCTTTATTGTGGGGAATAATAATTTAGAAACATTGTACTGTTACTTTAAATGTAGCATTAAAAATCCTGGATGGTTTGGTCATGGGGTACAGCAGAGCAGTGGTGGCTTAAAACTCCTGTTGTTAGTCAGTTCATATCTCTGAGCAACCTTTTTGTTGTCTTTTTTCAGGCATATTGTTCAACTACGTGAACTCAATGGCATGGCCATCCTGAACTCCTCTATGAAATATGTACATAGCATCTGAAGTCCTCAAGAAAGTTTTTGTATAAGCTGTTAATATCCCTTGCTGTTGAATAGCTTCTTCTTTTCTTAATAAAACTAACTCAAAGCAGATAACCTGTTCAACCACTTATCAAAAGTGTGTACTTATCCGGAGAAAGAAGTTTGTTTATTATCTAGGCTTACAAAAATAACAGTTCTGCTGCGATTGTATTTACCTTAATAAACAATGTTGCCCTTTTCTATTGGCAAGTCCTTTGTTGTTTAATTATTGAACAATGGGTCATCTACTCTACTTTCTAGTTGGTGTCGGAACTCAGTATTTAGGAGAAAATAGAAATAATCGTCTACACTTGTGGAGTAAGGTGCCACTTTGGAGAATCCTTTTCCCCACATACTCTCCAGTGGTTGCTAAATTATGCTTTGGTATTGCATGTGTGATATCACCTCATTCTTAGCTGCTTAAATACTTGGGTCTTAATTTCACTAAGCTGTGAGTCTTTCTGATAACTTATGGTAATGCAGTTTATGTGTGATTTGGGGGTGGTTGCTTTTAAAAGCATTACTTTTGCTGTTTTGGTAAATTTAGTCAGATTCCATTGCCCTTTACTTTTGTGCAGAGTAAGAACGGTAGCTGATCTTCTTGATCCAAAGTACTTTCTCATGGCCCTTTGTGTTCTTCTCTAATCAAGTCTAGGGTCATTTTTATTTTTTTTTAACGCAGTAACACAAGTAGTGCATCCTTTAATTGTCTGTGTTGTCGGGAGAGGTCAATAATGACTTTAGGGTAAGGGCAGGGGAAGTGTAACTTGAAAAGCAAGGCATTAATGCATTGCTGCTCTTCCAGAAAGGCAGTTTAAACCACGCGAAGAAGAGTGGGGTCTGAAGAACCTGCTTTCTCCATTAAAGTATAGCAGCTTTACTGCCAAAGTTCATTGTCAGCAATAAAACACAGCCTTAAAATCAAGGCAAAGCACTAGGAGTGTGTGTTAATCATCTGGAAATCAAAAAAAAAAAGCACAGGTTTATTGGGTTTTTAAGATGCTTCTCTAAAACATATCCCTTGAAGACTTTGAAGTCTATGTATGTAAACTTATCTCTTTAGAACAGTGGCTGACAAATTACAGATCATCTCCTTTTTCAAACAGGTGCTGAATCTTCTTGCTTCAGAAGAAAAAGATTCTCTTGTGCCTGTTTTTTTTTTTTCTCCACTCACAGTGAAAATCAATAATAATGCTTTTTTTTAAAAAATGTTACCTTTAAATTGTGGGCTGCCTAGGCAAATATGTAACAAACATTGATACCTTTGTGGAGTATTCCAGTCCAAATCAGCACTGCTCTTTCACTGTGACAAATGCCAAGCATTGTCTTAGCGAAAAAGTCCATTGAACCCTGTGTTTACAGAGGTAGGATGTCAAAGGGGGATTGCAGGTGTACTGTGACACCAGAAAATTGCAGGAGCTGAAATCCCCTTAAAAGCCTGAAAGCTAAAGGTCTTTCTTGACTTTGACTGACAAGTCGGGTGTTGCTTAAAAGAAGCCCTGACATTCCAGTTGCTATTGCTCCCAAAAGAAAATGGTGAGCGGGTAACAGAATTGCTTCTAACTTCCCTCTGCAAAAGGTCGTTGAACTCACTCATCCTCATCAACAAGCATTAACACTGCAGAGTGTTTATGAGCAGGCTGGGCACTATTGCCATTTGGGACTGGGACATGGACCCAAGCAATTGGGCCATTTCAGAAGGGTCATTGAGCTTGTACAAGCTATAATCCCATTTGAAGTACAAAGAACCTGCCAGCATGATACAGGTTGAATGGCAGACCTCAAACTTTGATCACAGTGCCTTGGAAGTGGTAACAGCAGCTGTAATCTAAGAAATGCAGGACTGGGCCTGCTGACAGCTGTGTGCAGACAAGGCCAGGCAGGGGTCAGATTAGTGAGCAGCAGAGAAAGGAGGCTGCAGCTGGGAGGTGTGGAGCTCCTGGAAATGGAGCTTTCTCCATTCCCCACGCATTTTGTGTGCTAGCTAACGCGACAGATTACTGTGTGCTGGTTGGGGGTAAGACACTGACTAAAACTAGAGTCCCCATGTGTCAGGTGCTGAACAAATGCCAGTCAGGATAACTTCCTTCTCCAAACGACTTAAAGAGTGGCAGAGAGATGAAGTGGCCTGACCTTGCTTATCCTGCTCAGGTGAGTGACGTGGCTGGGACTGGAAATGGGGTCTGTCAGTACCTAACCTACTGCGCTATCTGCACAACACTTCATCAGTTTGCTGAAGGGCGGATAATGCCTTATTGTTATTACCCTCAGCAGCAGTCACCTCTTCCTTGGTGTCCTTTACAGTGCTTTTCTGAGCTGTCATTATGCTGCTTATCTGAATTATTCTCATTTTTTAGATGCGATTTCCACTGCACTCACAGCACTCGTGGCTATGTAATAATGTTCTCTCTTATCTCCTTAGCCTACATTGCTCGAAATTTTCCATCTCCCAGAGTTTCTCTTGCTTTTGTGTGTGTGCAGCTGCCTGGTGCTAAAAGGGTGCCTGACCCGTACTGCTTGCAAACTTCAGGCCAACATTTGCGAGGACACTGGAGCCTAACTCCCAAAGGAGAAAGGGGCGTTACTCTGACTCTGCTTGACAAGCCTCTGGCCTTTTCTGTTATTATGAAAGTTTAAGCTGTACTTGTTAAGCCGTTTGTCATGCTTGTGCTTTCCCTACGGTTCTTACTCCAGCCTCACAGGAGCCAGAGGGGTCAGGCCCGTGCTGCAACCAGGCTCCCCTGGCCGATCCAGGGCAGGCCCGGTGGGGTGGTGGTGGCAGCACCGCAGCCGCTTTCCTCTGTGGCCTAGTCCTACCCGACAGGCCGTGGGGAGAGAATGTGTGCCCCTTGGGCTCACGGAGGCAGAGTGGTCAGGTTTTTTTTTAGTGAGGTGCCTCCATCAGGCATCCAGGCTGATCCCTGTGTTTGCCTCAGCACAAACTGTCAAAAACTTCAGACCCTCGTTGACCCAGGCACCATTTTACCCTTTAATTCAGAAACAAAGTGCTGCTTCGCACAGGCAACCTCTCATGTTCACAATCACTTTTTCAATTTTTGCAATGCACATGAACACACACGTTTCTGTTAAAAATCAATAGATTCCAATTGGTGCGGGCTTTGATTTTTTTTTTTTTTTTTGGAACAGGTTATTGGTTGCTGTCTGACCTAAGCTCTTATAAAGTAACCCAATACTCTGCCCCTCCAGAACAAACCCAGCAAATGCTCCCTGCTGAGGAGCAGCAGTGAGTCCTTAGCAGGCTGCTCCCCATCTGGATAGGCTGTTATTGGGGTGACTCAGGAGCTGCTTCACAAAATGCAGGAAACGTTTCCCATCTTTATCCTGATTGCATCTGAACTATTGGATTTATCTGGTGAGTAATGTGCCCTGTCCTAAGCTCATGTGCTGACTTTCTGCCGGCTTCTCCTGTAGGGTCAGTGAGCAGAAAAGCTATGTTAGGTACTGTGCCATCAGTCTCAGGTGTGAGACAGCAAGGAGATCAAGGAGCAACCTCATTGTTTGTGCAGCTGTGCTGTAAGGCTCAAGATTTTGTTTGAATGGTTTCTGCTGTGGGAGTGTTGGGATCAGGGCACAGCTGTGATATGAATCTGACCTGGGAGAGGGTCCCTTCCCTGAAGGGTGTGGAGGAAAGCAGAGCCAAACAGCCACTTCTCATAGAGCCGGTCAATAGCACAACTGGGGGCTAAACTCACATCTGCTGCAGCCTAGGTTAAAAAATATATTTCCAGGCATCATTGTTCATTACATTAAGTGGGGTCTTGCCTGTTCACTGTACAGTAGTGCACTGTTCTGCATTTTCTTTGGGTACAGCTGGCTGGCCAAACATTTCTGACAGCTTGAAAGCAGTTTGTAATGTTGTTGTGCCTCAAGCAACTTCCTAGGGCTACTGTCACTCATAGCAGGGCACCACTCAGTCTTCACTTTCTACCTCGTATTGTGAGCCTCTGAGCATACACTGCAAGGGTGCATAAATTAAACTTGGCTCTTGAAAGCAGCCTTGAGTCTTCAGGCAGAGTAGTTTCTTCAGTAAAGATAAACTTAGGAGTGGGCGTTCAAGGAATTTTCCACCAAATTTGTAATTCTATTTGTCTTGTTTTTAAATTAACTTGTCCCATTGCAAGGTGTATTTATGTATATTTATAGCACTTTTTTAATCGGAGACCTTGATTCGGTAAAGCATTTGAGTGCATGCATATCTTTAGGCAGATCACTTATGTTGCTTTGCTGAGCTGGGGCTAAATACAACAGGAATTCTGTCTGTTTATGCGAAATCACAATTCAAAATATTTTGTAAGCTTAATATCCCAGCCTCCATCATCCTTTAACTTCCTTTTTTTTTTTTTTTTTTTTTTTTTTTTTTTTTTTTTTTTTAAGCAATATTTCAGGTCCTTTGGTTCCCTTATATTGCCTTTGCCTGCTCATTATTACCAAAGTACTACTGGTTCTGCAGGTGACCACAGGGAAGTCATCATCTCCTCTCGAGGCATTGCACTTGGGCACCAACCCCAGGGCTTTTATCTGAAATGAAGCTGCTCAGCCTCTGCTTTGGCTTTGTCAAAAACACAATTTAAATGCATAGCACTTAAATGCATAATCACATCTTAGTTTTTAGATGCATGCAGTCGCTGGCAGGTGCCTAAGGGAAAATGCTTAAAGTTTTGGGGGAGGAAAGTCCATTAATATTTTAGTCCATGGCTTTGAAAGCATCCTTGCAAATGTCAACATTCTGAATGTGAGGAGAAAAAAAAATAAATGTGTGGACTAAACAATAGCATTTAAAATCTTAGGTCTGCCTCTAAAATGACAAAGTGTCTGCTCTGGATGTGAAAAGCTAAAGGTAGCACGCTTACTAAGCTCTGTGTCACTTTTTCAAAACGAAACAGCTTGGTACAGCCTGGTCAGCCACTGTGAATGGGGAAACTCATCACAGGACTGGGGTACGGGGGGGCCAGGCAGGTATGCTCAGTCACATAGACATGGATTTTTTTGATGCTGTTGAAGAGCTACTAGCCTGTTCCTGGGCAACCTGGGGGCTTTGTTCTCTGTAATGCCTGTAAGAACAGCAGTGCTAGAGCTGCCTGTCCTCCTCCTGAAACATTCTCCTTCCCTCTCAGCCTGCTGCAAACTGTGAAAAGCTCACCTACAAGGAAATAGACAAAAGCTTGCTTTCTGTTCATCAGGTGCCTCCAGAGACGAGCCCCACATCAGTGGAGCACCAGGCCTGGGCTCTGCTGGGGGAGCCCAGCTGAGAGCCGAGAGCAGCCCGGTGCCCAGCGAGGAGCAACCCGTTACAGGAGCTGACTCGGAGGAGGTGACCTTCCACTTCCAGACTGCAGCAGTTGATCCTACCAGTGAAATGACAGCTGACTTCATTGCTGTCCACACAGAGAGAGCTCCAAGAGCAACAGCCACGCTGCCTAAGGAGGTGGTTAGGAACTTGGAGGGGTCTGATCGACTGCCTGCTTTAAAACTCCAGGATGGAGATGCATTTCCTAACAATCTCCTGAGTAATGTAAGTGTCCCCTCCTCTGCACAAGGACCACAGGCCACCACCCATCCAGAGCAGTCAGAGAGGTCAGTGCCAGGCAGAGCTCAAACTGTCCCCGAGGCTGCCCTCAGCCCGACCAGCAGTGCTGGGCTGCCCCAGCCCACTCCCACTGTGGGGGTGCACCAAGACTCTCGGGGGGTTGCAGCCATCTCTCCCATTCCTATTCTCAAGCAGAGGGAGGTGCCAAGTCCTAAAATTTCTCTTCTGACTTCAACGGTAAATTTCCATCCTCCAAGAAAAGAGACAGCAGCATATCCGTTTCCCACCAGTGTTAGGATGGCTCTTGTAAATGCAGGGGTGGGCCAGTTACCAGCACTAGCACCCCCCACTACAAAAAGGCCAAAGGATGCAAGTCCCCAAGTCCAGCCTGACAGCAGAGCTGCTGTGACACCTGCATACGTCAAGAGTGTAGATGCTCAACTTACTACTTCTGTAATCGCACAAAAGCCAGCTTCGGTCGGCCTTGATGCAGCCTATTTCAGAGTCATGAAAACAACTGCTGTTCAGTTTCCCCCTCTTTTATCTCTTAACCAAGAACCAGCAGGCAGTGAAGACAGAAACTCAGTAACAGCTGTGATAAAGGGCTCTAGACACTCAACTGTGTTGCCTGCTCTTCAGCAGCTCCTGCAAGGCACTGGGCACTCTTCTTCATTACCAATGCATCCTGAAGCTCTAGGTCATGATGATTTGATTCCACCTCCATTTCAAGGGGCTGTCAATGTAGCTGGTAGACCACAGCCTCTCCTGTTGTCCCGGACTCTCAACTGTACTAAGCACCATGCTTCACATGACACTAACAGGAGCACTCAGGAAAGCACAGTCCTAGTTTTACAAAGAGATGCTGATCACCAGATGATGACAAGTAAGCCTGAAAAATCCACATCCTCTGAGAGCCCCCGGGCTTCTTCTAATTCACCTTCACTAGGGCAGTCACAAATCGCCATGGTAAACCTCTCCCAAACTACCAGAGAGCTAAAAGGAGCCACGTTTCCACCCCTTCCAAGTGCATCTACCTTGGAGAAGGCAGCCCTTCCACCTTTAAGCACTCCTGCTGCTGTTCACGCAGCAATTCCGCCACGAGCTACATCTGTTCCTCCTTATGCTGGATTGCAGCCGATGGGTGTCCCCACCTCTGCTGCGAGAGGACTCCACGTACTGACTTCAACTGCTGGTTCTGGGTCTCAGGTTCAAGGTGTTTCAGCCCATCCTGGACCTCAGGAAGCATTTGCTGCGATGCCACAGATGAGCACAGTGGAAGATTCCAAGGGACAGAAAAGTCTTCCACATCGGATAGATAAGGCTGGTTCTCCACTGACTCCACAAGCCAGCGTGGTCTCCAGCCCCTCTGGACTGCATGAGGAGAACCAGAAAGCTTCTCGTGACAGCTCTGCCCCTTCAGCCTCCACGATCCAGCATGCTGGCAGCCTGGAAGCTTTTGTTGCCAGCTTGCACCCACCCCACGCACAGGAAAGCCAGTCCAGCACAACAACAGCACGTCCTGAGCCGGCAGTGCCCGTTGTTTCTCAGATCCCAGCACATCTGGCCCAAGCACTGCTGCAGCAGTTTGGTGCATCGCATGATGCAGCTACCAAAAACCTCAGCATTTTCAGAACTGATCACCCCAAAATGTTCCCATCATCTCTGTATTTGTCCTTTCTGCTTAAGAATACTGATGGCATGATATGCCTGCTTCCCATGCAAGAGTCCCCTTTGCCTGCAAGTTTCCCTAATATCAGTGTTGGGACTCTGGTTTCTGTTCAGCAAATCCTGGCAGCATCAAATTCTTCATTAGTAGATCTTGCAAACTTGCAAAATGGAAGTCCTTCTAGCTTAATTCTGGTTAAGCCTGTTTTTATCCTTTTTCCCACGGACAGAGCAGACTTACAGATGGTGCCCTCTCCTCAGGGTGAAGATGACCACAGAAGTGCCCTCTTATTCACAAACAAGCAAGGTCTGACCATGGTTACCAATGGACACAGCCGTGATATCCCAGAGAAAACCAGCTCCTCGTATCCCACTAGTGAGTCTCTGAGACCTCAGACTGCTCTCTCCACTGCTCCTGACCAGCGAGCAGAGAAAGCAAAAGCAACTTCTCAGCCAGTGCTGACTACTGCGAGTTACGTGGCCAACCCTAGTTCCTTTCAAGCCACTGCCCCAGCAGCAGATCACTTTCTGGACCTGCAGCTGAGGATGAGCATAGCAGCACAGGCTGCTCACCCGCAGGAGATGCCTGAGGGGCTGCAGGCAGCGCCTGCCCCTTCCCTGGGGGCTGAGGAGCCTTCCCCTGGTGGTACGGCAACCAAGCCTCCTGCCCCCCCAAGGCAACCAGTACTGGTGCCTGCACAGCATAGCCCTACAGCCCCCACAGGGTTTTTAAAAGCTGAAAAGCCTCTTTCTTCTTCTCTAACCCCTTTGCTGTCAGCAGTGGGGCTCACTGCTCTTCCGATGCCAGCTCAGCCTCCATTTACTGTCGCAGGGTCTGGGGATCAGGGGCAGCGCGGTGTGGGACTGGCGCTACAGAGCACCACCCGTGGCCAGGGCTCAGTGAGCCCATCTTCCTCTGCCCCAGTGCAGTGCACAGAGTGTTTGAGCTCAGCTGGAACTGTAAAATATCCATTAAAGATGTCCCCAAGCATTGTGCCTTTGCCGTCCATGTCACAAAGTCAGCCAAGCACCGAGTCACTCCAAAGGCTGCCGTCACAAGTTGCATTTGTACCCAGCACCGTGTCGGCTTTCTCAGCATTTCTAGCTGGAAATGATGGCAGAAGCTCAGCAGCGGACAGCACTGCTTCTTCTGGAGTCACTTTGCATGCTAAAGCAGCATCAGTCCCCCCCACCTCTATAAAACCTGATCTCACCACGCACTTGGAATTTATTACCATCATGCCCAAGCCCATGGTCAGGATGGAGACCCCAACAGCAGTACCAGCACGCACCATGCAGTCAGCGAAGGTCAAAACAGCAGCTTCTGGGAAACTGCTGGTGACCAGCACCCCCCCAGAGATGTACAGCACGTCCCCCGTGAGCCTGCCCTCACCGGTGTCTGTGCGAGTTCCCCTGCCATCCGCTGCGAAACGTGACCAAAGCAGTCAAGCACCTTCTGCATTGTCCTCACCAGCCAGTCTGGGAGAAAATGGGAAACCAACCGAAGGCACAAGCCCAAGAAAACGGGGATTCTTGGGAACCAGCACGTCCCTGCCGGCCGTGTTTAGCACAAAGGCAGAGCAGCCCCCTGCAGCAGCTCTTGGCAGCCAGACTGGTGTAGCTCCAGCACAGCCGTCTGCGGCTGCAGAGCCTGTGATTGCTCTCGAGAGTGAGCCTAAATTAACACAGACCACCTCGCCATCTCCATTAGCGGTGACTTCTCTCTCTGCAGCTAAGAATGATTATATCACCACTTCAGTTACCCCAAAAAAAGTGTTTTTCCTGCCAACATCAGCTCTCCAATCTGACCCAAAGGTGGTGTTTCCTACAATGGCTGTAATGAACAGCTCAGCTAAGGTCCCTGCATCAGGGACAAAGAGTGAGGATGTGTTTCTGGAAGGGGACACGGCCACTGCCAGCCAGGAGCTCAGCCAAGCAGCCACGTCCTCAGCACCTCAGGCCCGGGAGGAGAAGGTGCCCAGGGAAGCCCGCATGGAGCAGGACGCTGCTGGGCAGCCCACGGGGCCATCTACAGCAAAATCACTTTCTGTACCTGCGAGTAAGGTTACCAGTGAGCCAGCTGCCTCCAATAAAGCAGCTGATGATGATGCTGAGACGCTCCTAACCAGAGACCTGAGACCACTGCCTCCTACCACAGAGAGCCCCTTGCGTCCTGCGGGGGCCATGGCAGCACGCACAGCGGTGAGCGATCCCCAGCTGGGTGCCACGGGCACGGAGGCCGAGGAGGATGCCGAGGAGGAGGCCGGACCACACTGGGTGACCCACAGAGCCCCCACAGGCTCAGAACCTGCCCTTACACCCCTGGGTTCGGAGCTGAGTGACTCCCGGCAGAGGAGGGTTCTGCAGCAGGACGGTGCCGTTCTCAGCGGGTAATTGTCACGGCGAGTTGGTGTTCAGGCTGAGTGATTTACGGGGTGTGGGGGGGTCAATAGCCAAATTGCTCCATGAGCTCAGCATCACGGGTATGATGTATTGTTGTTTCCAAAGCATTCAGTTCATTCTGCAGTGACCTCACAGCTTACAGGAAAAAATCTTTTCCTGTTTCAGATATTAATGCTGTCCTTTGGACCTCACTTTCTTTTTCACAGTAGCCTTTGACTCTCTGCCTCTCCTCCCAAAACAATTCTACGTGCAGATTCACAAGTGGGAGCATCTGCTAGCACTGTTTGCACACTGAGCTCACCGATCTGCTTGGTTCCACCGAGGGACCTGATCTTAATGCAGAGCCGGGCTGGGCTTCAGCTTGTTTCCTTCTTTCCCTGCAGGATCGCAGTTGTCAGCGATGAGGCCTGCGGCTCTGGCAACTACACGGTGCAGATGAGCCTGCGCCCTGTGGCAGAAGCGAGCCCGGAGCTGCAGGGCTCAGCGCTTCCCCAGGACACCTTCCTGGCCTCCCTGGCCATGCGGAGCAGCAGCAGCCAGCCCGTGCTGCGGGTCCGCTCCTGCTGCGTGACACCCTCCAGCAGCCCGGGGGGCCCCGGCGCCGTGTGCTGCCTCCTCCCCAGGTACGGCATGGGGATGGCCTGGGGACACCCCTCTGCTCCTGTCCCAGGGCTTCAGCCCAGTCTCTTTGGTGCTGAGTGAGATGAAAGTGGTGAGAATGAACCCAGGAGTGCTCTGCTCCCCTCGCTGTCAGCACCAAGGGCTCCGTGAGGCATGGGGCTCTCCTCCCTTCACCTGTTATTTTATGCAATGAGCTTTTTTTTTTATGCACTTCCACATGATGTTCACGGCTATTGCTGCCTGGGTTGAGCACAGGGGTGTTGGAGGATTCATTGGTTCATGTTTATAAAGCCACCAGGGCATGAAATGTGTGCTGCAAGTGCTACATGTCATTGCCATCAGTAAAAAGGGATTTCAGATTTACCTGTACTGGATAAGGGGAGGTCACCTCTACACTGCCTCTGGAGATGTCTGGATCAGGGAAGGGTCATCACATCACAGCAGCCTTTGCAATGGTTTAGCACGATAACCCTCCAAGAAACAGTTCTGCTATTCCAGGGTGCTGCCCTCCACAGCAGGTACACGTCCAGGCTGGGGTGCTGAGGTCTGCTGGATTTCTCTTTGACTCTGCCTGCAGCTACAGACACCTGCCCCAGACCTTGTGCAGAGCAGTGCCAGCACATCTCCCTCCTCCCTGCCCTTACACAGGGAGTGCTGGAAGTTGAAGCTGCTTCCATTTGTCCTTGCCAGGCTGCTACCTGAATGCAGACACATCCAGCTGCTGCAGAGCAGTGAGCCCAGAGCTGCCAGCTTCACCATCCAGCTGTTCCAGATGCTGAATCACTCGGTGGCTTATTTGCACTGCGAGCTCAGTGTGTGTCTGCACGGCAAACCGGGCTGTGAACAGGTACGTGGGCAGGGTCCGCCCTCACTGGCCTCAGGATCTTTTGGAAAGATTTGGTGCTTCCAGCAAGTGCAGTCGATGTAAAGAGCCTTGAAGGAAGGCTATAAAGCTCCAGAAATAATTTATCTTTGCCTTGAGTAATCCAGATGAGAAGTATATTAACAAGCAAGTTAATCACTAGGGAAAAGGAATTATGGACTAGATACTGACACGGGGCCAGGTCCAAGCATTGGGCGAATCATCCTTGGAGCAGCAGCAGAGCTGGATGGAGCCCGAGCACAGGGGATGGCTCCAGCTGCTGGGACAGAGCAGAGCCACTGGTGCAGGGTTTGGGATGCCACATTTGGGACATGTTCAGAGCCTTCCACCTATCTTCCCCAGGGCTGCATTGACAGTGTGGAGCCGCTTCCCCAGCCAGGTGACAGGAACAGCCCTGGGCAGCTGCGCAACCTGATCTCGTTTGGTCCAGTTCTGCGACTCAAGGACAGGTTTCTCTATAAGCCTGTGCAAGGTGGGTCCCTGATTTGCATCCCTCTCTGGCTCTCTTGCAGAAGTCTCTGCTCAGTGTGACTGCCTGCTGTAAGAAAAATGACAGCGGAATAAGGCTGGTCACCAGTCGGGAGCATTTTCATTTTCTTTCTATCCACAGATGAAATACAGCAGCTGGTTTAGTTAATCAGATGTTGTCCAGCAGTTAGAAAGGGGAGAGAGTCAATCCAGCCTGTCATGAGCATGACAGACTACTTAAATCACTGGCACCATCTCTGAGAGTCACTTAACTTTTGTGTCTGATGTTCTTATGCAAAGAGTATTTACTGTGAGATCTGAAGGCAAAGTGTGTTAGAAGGGGAACTACCCGTCCAGGCTGCTCTGTGGTAGAAACAGCCCTACATGCTTGATGTGCTATAAGGATGAGGTTTTAGCCTCCTCTTTCTTCTTACTTATCTCCTTAACGCTGTTCACAGCTCGATTACTTTATTTCCAGGTCCCGATTCTGCCGTGCTGGTGCCCATTCTGCTGGGGTCCCTGACTGGCTTTGCTGTCCTGGGCAGTGCTTTCATCAGCCTTTGGCTGCATCACAGACAGAAAACCAAAAGCTCAGGTTGTCCACGGTTTGGAGAAATCCGTGGCCTGTGAACTAGGAGCAGCTGACTTCTGCAGATCCCACAGCACAGCTACAATGATCAGAAAAGCGACTGATTCTGCATTGCACACTGTATTGCTTTGTAGAGCTTCTGCAGACCCAGGGCGCAAGCTCTCCAGCCTCTGCCTTAAGCGCATCTCTCCTGCCTTTCTTCCCTTCATTGTGAGCTGATCCACAAGCTGCAGCATAGAGAGGGCTGTAGGAGCAGCTCAGCTAAAAGGGAGAGCAGAGCTCACAATGCCATATGTGCAAGCACCAGCACGCAGTCTGTTCACAGAAATGGAAAAGTTGTCAGGGTGCAGGGATCTACCTAAAATAAAGCACTAGACTAGAGCCATGCCAGCGGGCAGACCAGCTTGTTAAGAAAATAACAAAACTCAAGGTTAGTGGCTGGGAACAGGGAGAGGAACCAAGAGCTTCAGAGATCCAGCTCAGCAGCTCATCTCAGCAGCTTTTCTCACGTCTCAGGAGCTGGGTCCCATTTCTCTTCGCCTGTGCTCGTGCTGGTGTTCTCTTGCTTTTGGTGGAATCAAGTTTCCAGTATCCTCCTGTTAGTAAAATCTACATAATGAGAAAAAAAGTTCAGCACACAAAAGCTTTGTCTATAAGCCCGCGTTTCAGAGCACATTAAAAACACCCCATTCACCTTCTACATCCTAAGGTTTCTTTACCCCTGGGGCCAGGATGCAGGCAGCAAAGGGGCTGTTGCCAGAGCACCTGTGTCAAATGCAGCAGAGGAGTAGCTCACACTTCTACCTGGGTCCTTTTCCCTACAAGAATCTCTGCAGATCTGCTATGTAGCTACAAATTCTAGGTCAAAACCCAGTGACAACTACCCTGCAGAAACACTAATTATTATTTGCACAGCAGCAGTGCTAAGGAAATCAGCACCGCATTGCATTCAACAGTGCCTTACCTACACAGCCCCTGTGCTAGGCTCTTAATGCCATTTATGCCCCAGACGAGTGTCATTAAACCCTCTTTACAGCTTTCAAGGCATAAAGCAAACTAAAAGCCTGTGTGCATCATAGCTCAAAGTGTTTGGCTCTCCTGCGCCCCAGCCCTGCAGTTTAGCCGAAGGGCTGCCCTCCTGCCTACAGCCGGCTCTGCACAAGCAGCAGGGAGCGGAGCAGACACTGAAAGCCATGCTGCTTTGAGCACCGTGCACCCACAACACATCCCTGTCTGAAGCACGGCAGCTTCTCAGGAACACGGAGAGAGGCTGTGCCTGGCTCAGGAGCTGGGCACAGCACCCAGGCGTGGCTGGGGGCAAAGCGGGGGACACATGGGGGTCTTCTGTAGTGGGACCAGGGCCCGGGGGGGCAGCGGCTGCCTCTGGGACAGGCGGGGAACTGTCAGCGTGGTGCTCAGCAGGCACCCTGTGGTAACATGGGTATGGTGCAGGAGGTCAGAGTTATCTGGGGGGGAGCTGGATTGACCTCAGCACCACACAGCCGCCCCCTTACCCTCCCCTCTCCGGGATGGGGGAAAGAATCAGAAAAATGAAGCCTGTGGGTTGAGATAAAGGCAGTCCATCAGGACAGAAAATAAAAGAAAAAAATAACAATGATAAGAGTGCCACTAATAACAACATGTACAAAACAAGTGATGCACAACACAAATGCTCATCACCTCCTGACCGATGCCCAGCTTATCCCCAAGCAGCCAGTCCCCCCACCCCAACCATCCTCCATATAATTGTTCAGCATGACACCCTATGGTGTGGAATACCCCTTTGGCCAGTTGGGGTCTGACGCCTCCCAGCTCCTGCTGCTCCCCAGCCTGCCTGCTGGCAGGACACAGATTGAAGCCGAAAAGCCCTTGGCTTGGTGTAAGCACTGCTTGATGTGGGACAGGATGGGGATTTGTGCCCAGCGAGGCTCCAGGCACTGCAGCACTGCAGCTCCTTGCACGGGGCGAGCGTGATGCTTCGGGATCCACCTCTTGGCAGTGAGTAACATGGCTCATTTTGGGCAACTCCCCACCTCCCCATGCAAATCGGGAGCAGAGGAGCTCCTGGGTTCTTCCCCGAGAGCGCCCGAGCAGGAGGCAGCCAGCCAGGCTGCCTTGTCTGTCATGACTGCAGAGGCAGACCCACAACTGGGCAGCTTGACCATCTTCAGCAAGGAGGATTTCGAAGAGGACTGGGTTAAGGTGGCCAGTGGAGGCTTTGGGTGCGTGTACCAAGTCAAGCACAGGAGGTGGAGGACGGTCTATGCGGTGAAATGCTCCCCGTACCTGCTGCAGGACTCCAGCGCAGACAGGTAACCACCAGCTCTCTTCCAGCTCCTCCTGGTCGTGCCACCAAGGACAGATCTGTGGCGATGTGGGGCTAAAACTGGTGGAGGTGTCCAAAGGGGCACCCCAGAGGTTTTGGGCAAGCACCAGTGACCTGGAGGTCTGCCTCGCTTTCCTATGTGTCCATGTGCACGTGCAAGAGGAAAGGAGAGCTTATTTCTGACAACATTGAAATCTGGGAATTAGGAGTAGCTTTTTTTTTTACTGACAACAGTCGTTTCATCTGGGCAGTGATTAATGGGATCATAGATTGTATGATTGTCCCCTTTAATTTGCAAGGCTTGCGTTCCTCAAATGTTACATTTGCACTTTCTCTTCTGGGGAAGAAGTGTGTCCAGTCAATCGGTTTTACTTCTGTGTGTACCATTCCAATGAGTTTCGTCTTGTGGGTTTCATGGATTATCTCAAATGCTAGTAGATGTTCCAGAAGAATTGTTGAATGCAAGCAGAAATGTTCACTGATTTTTAAAAACATTTCTGCAGTCACCAGGATTTGAAAAACCAAATCTGAAAATCTGAGTTTGGGAAAAGTATCTGGGAGTGTATGTGCCTTTATGAGTTATTGCACAGGTCTCCTAGGGATTGGGGTTATGCTATTTTGTCCTTAAAACAACTTTGCACTCTAACGTAGGTTTCTCAAAGGCCTTCTTCCCCTTACATATGGCAAGCAGCTTTGGGGCTGCACTGGCTAACGTTATCCTTCTGTCACCCCCACAAGCTCTGCATTAGAAGGCAAGAGCATGCTGTCCTATGCCATGGCTCTGCCCCAAATCTTTTCTTTCCAGGAGGGCTGGGAGGACCAGCATCAGTCCCTCAGCCCTGAAAGTCTGTGGGATGTCATTCAGTGGATTAGTGGGATGATGCAAGGGATCCCTGTGGGCACGGGCATGCTGGGAGGGCAGGAGCTCGGTGGGTGCAGCTGAACCTGTGCATCACCTGGAAGGGTTGGGGGTGTCTGAAAGGTGCTCTTGCTTCAACCCTTGTCAGCTGCAAAGGTTTTTAGTCGGCAGATCTGCTGTGGATGACAATTCTTAGGGAGAAAAAGAAAAAAAAAATCCCAAGGAACACATAAAAAAAAAAAATATAGCCACAGATGCAGTCACAGGTTTCCAACACATTTAAAGCACTTGGAATCTTGTAGGATTGCTTCGGGGCTCTTGCTCTTCTCCCTGACAAGCCTCATTTATTGTGGCTCCAGCGTCCTCTTTCCTGCAGTGCCCAGCCCTGGTCCTGTCCCAGGAAGGGAACTGGAGGCCACTCAAGTCACTTCTTTCTTTGGGAGGGACAAGCACCAAGAGGCAGCACTCTGTGCTGCAGGTTGCGGCTGCCTTACTGGGGTAAGCCTCTCTTCCTCCGTGGGAAGCAAAATACCCGAGACAACTCCTCCAGAGCTGTGTTTTACCCGGGGAGCCTGCTGGAGGAAGTCTGGCAGAGGGATTTGCTTAGCTGAACTAAGTTTAGACACATTAGTGTCTTGGCATAATGTAGTTGCAAGCCCAGATCCATTCCCAGGTGTGCTTTATGAGTGCAGGTTTGGCACTTTTACTGCCTGGCTGCTGTCAGCGTACTCTGAGCTTGTTCAACAAGTTGGGAAATGCAAAGATTTAGTGGAACAGGTCTGGCAAAGCTGGCAACAACGGGCAGACATGTCTAGACTGCCCCGGGACCAAAGCTGCAGGCAGAGCTTAGCCATGGGCAGGTCCCTGCAGGTTCGTGCGTGCCCTGGGGACAGGGGGCATGGAAAAGGCAGGGAGCACCCTGCTGCTGCCCATGGCATGCTCGCAGGGAAGCAGCACTTGGGGAATGCACCAAGGTGTGAAAACAAACAGGTGGACGAGGATTCTCTAGGAGGCTGGTGGTTGAATTTGCCCACAAAATCCTCAGGTCATTTTGTAAAGTCCTGTCAACTCATGCTTTTGATTTGTGGCAATGAATCTTGCTGAGGTTTGCAGGGCTGATTGGAAAGGCTGGATACCCCTAAGCTGTACAGTCACTCAGTAACTGCCTGTGGATCAGCACTGATGACAACTCTTGGTTAATTTTATTTTATTATTTTATTTTATTATTTTATTTTATTTTATTTTATTTTATTTTATTTTATTTTATTTTATTTTATTTTATTTTATTTTATTTTATTTTATTTTATTTTATTTTATTTTATTTTCCAGAAACAATGTGAACTGCCTAATGGAAGAGGCCACCAAGATGGAGAAAATCAAATTCCAGCACATTGTCACTATCTATGGGGTCTGCAACAGCCCTCTGGGCATAGTGATGGAATATATGGCCAGAGGGTCCTTGGAAAAAATTCTCCCCACTCACAAAATGTCCTGGCAGCTCAAATTCCGGGTTATCCACGAGATGGGCTTGGCTATGAATTTCCTGCACAGCATGACACCTCCTTTGCTTCACCTAGATCTAAAGCCAGGGAACATTCTCCTAGATGGCAATATGCATGTCAAGGTATGACCTTCATGTTTTTAGGGACAGGTTATTTCGCTTAGTAGCAGTGTGTATTGCTTGTTTTGAGTCCAGGATCCTAATGAGGTGGGGTCTTCAGGAACACTCAGCGAGCAGTTGGCCACTGGGGCTTGTAGGAAACAGCTGGTAAATAAATTATGTGGAATATTCCAGGCAATCTGTGCCAGAAGGGGGAATTTTGGGGTCTAGCTTGGGGGCAAATGCTGCTCTGTTGGACTCAGAGGAAAGCACTGGCTTCAGTTTTGCCAGAGTCCTATTATGTTTCAGGGGCTAGGTGCCTCCTCATGCTCCTGATTCTGAAGGACAGAGAGATATTTAGCTCCCAGCTAAACCAAGGAAAGGTGTGTGAGTGCTAGAGGGGGGGGGCTCTCATTGTCTCTGCTTGCAGATCTCAGACTTCGGGCTCTCCAAATGGATGGAGCAGTCGAGCCGAATGCAATACATTGAAAGCTCTGCTCTGAGAGGCACTTTGAGCTACATCCCCCCCGAAATGTTCCTCCAGAACACCAAGCCCCCAGGAATCAAATACGATGTGTACAGGTAAGGGCTGCCTTTCTGCACACGGGTGAGACGGGGTTGCCACCTGGCTCTTGCACAGAGGAAGAGAGACTGTGGCATTGCCTCATTTTATTGCCCCGTCTCTCTGCCTTGTAAATGTCCTTGGTGGGGACGTGCTGGGAGCACTGGAAGCAACGTGTGCGGCTCTGACCTCAGGGGTGCAGACAGAGAGCAGGGGTTGGTGTGTGGATAACCAGCTGGCCCCAACCAGGAGCCTCTCCTGGTCCCATAGGAGCTGCAGACTGCCTTGCCTTAGGTTCCCTCACACCCTGCTAGGCTGCTGGGAGCTGTTCTGGGCAAGGAGTAGGATTAGAGCGCGGAGCAGGCGGCGTCACTGCTAAGATTTATTTTGATTTTTAAGACAACTGTAACATTGCTTGGCTGCTTGGGTATTCAGCTTCATTTTGGTCAGTAGCAGGTGGAGAAAAGATGTGTAACTTTTCCTTATGGCCAAATTGCTGTGCTGCCCACATATGCAAGGTACATTATGGAAATTTGTCAGCTCCTTGGTTACTGCATTACACAGCAACCCGAGACAAAAAGCAAAGGATTTGCATGAGCACATGAACTTGCAACAGGGGACTCTGTGACAAAATAGGGATAAAATGGACTCCAAAGGCACTTAGAGCCTGACTTTCATGGGAAATGCAGTAAGTCACTCATTCACTGCACCAGCCCTGCGGCTGAGACATTAGAGATGTATGCAGTGATTCAGAAGATATTGTCCTTTTGGGGCATGGGGGATGAAATCCTAGGTCTTCCATCCTGAAGGACGCCATTCCAAATTTTTCCATTTCTCAAGAAGATGAAAGCAATAGGTGGATTTTATGTCCATGCACAATGAGAACATGATGGGAATGATTGTTCACGATCTCTCGTTGCCTGCAGCTTCGGAATCGTCATTTGGGAGGTGCTTATGCAGAAGAAACCTTATGCAGGTAAATATGAGAGCACTTCTTACATGCTCTGCACTTATGAAATGTTTATTACAGCCACATTCATGGAGAAAAGCCCAGCACACACAGCTGTGACTCTTTCAGGAGCCAACATGATGGCCATTATAGTCAAGGTTGCAGCAGGAAAGAGGCCGTGCCTGGAGCCCACCCGCGATGACTGGCCGGGGGAGTGCCAGCAGATGGTAGACTTGATGAAGAGGTGCTGGGACCAGGACCCGAAGCAGCGCCCGAGCTTTACAGGTGCAGTACCCAAACGTGGCACAGATTAGGGAAAGGTCAGCTGCACAGATTCACAAAGGGGGATGAGCTTGTGTGTAAGTCATTACCAGATAAATTGCCTGTTGCTGTGGAAATGGTTGGTGCCCATCTGCTGTCAGCACATTCCCTTTCTCCCTTTTTCCCCCCTCCCTGTGCGGGGGCTGTGTGGAGGACTTCCACAGCCTTGGGTGCCAACTGGGCTCCGAGCACGTGGGCAGCTCCCGACCTCCTTGCAGATATCCCTGTGGAAACAGACATGCTGCTGTCCCTGATACAAAGCCTCGTCGTAGATCCGGAGAACGAGCGCCTCGTCAGGAAGATGTCCCACAAGCCTGCCATCTCGGGCAGCCAGCAGGTGAGCCTTGGAGGCCTCCCAACGCCCTCGGGAAGTTTCCCAGACTCCTTTCCCTTGTCTTACCAGTTCCCAAGGCTGGGTTTCCTCTCCCATCACTGGGCACACTTTGCCCAGTTTGTTTGCATAGGGTTACAGCCACGGTTCTTTTAGGAAAATAAATAAGTAATTTAGGGAGCTGGCTGGTGTGTTAATGATAGACAGTCCAAGAGGAAGACCCTTCTTTCTGCTTGCTGAGGGGAAGAGGTTTTATCAAGGAGTCCTCAGTCATAAACAGAAGCTCAGGCAAACACAGATGCACTCAGGTTCTGCTCATGGCACTGGCAGATGTGTTCACTGGATCATTTTCTAGCTTCAAGAAATGGAGGACACTGCAATTTAAATAACCTTTAGGGAGGGAAAAAAATAAAATTAAATCCCTGTGTTTCTGTGACTAATAAAGAATCAGGTTTCAGCAGAATTAGTAGCTGAGGACTAGTGCTGTTCTGGGGGTTTGCCAAGTTGTGCAGTCCGCAAGAAACAAGAGCATCCAGCACAGCACGTCAAGGAGGTGGGGGGGGGTCTGGATTCCCTGCACAACAAAGCAAATGACCAAATGTGATGCTGCCATGGGCACATGCTGAAATAAGAAGGTCATGTTTGGGTATGTTTGGTAGCAGAGGAGTGAGAAGGACAAAACCTCACTGATCTCCAGAGATCATTTTCAGGTTCCTGCATTCCCATTAGTGCCATGATTTGCTCTGCTGACTTTCACAGGACTTGATAAAAAACACATTAATGGTAATATGAAATTCTAGAGCAAAGAAGAAATCTACAAAAAGTATATAATGCAAAGAGGCAACTTTCTCTTACGGCTTTTTCTTTTTCCCTTCCTGAAAATGAGAGTGACAAAGAAGAGTTTATCTTCTCCCAAGCCCCCAGAAGTGCCGGTAAGTAGGGAACTTTTCTTCGTAATTTAAAGATAAAGAAGGGGAAATCCACGAGAATAGCCTATTTCCTTGCTCTCTAGAGATAAAGATGTGGCTCTAGGAAGTTTTCCTTGTGGGTGACTTTTCATTTTAAGCTAAGGAAGATGAACTATAAAGGAAATAGCAGAGCTCCCATGATGGAGAGCTTGGCCTCTCTGCTTTGTAAGAGGCTGCCTGTAGCCATCTGGCCTTACTTCTCGTTCCTTATCTCTAAGATGCTTTTTATCTCATCGCGTAGTATGAAGATTCACCTGCTGTCCCTCCCTCCCATGTTGTGCACACCAAGCTGCTTCGCTTGGTCTCACTCCCTCCCTGCTGTTTTGTTTCCCCCGCCTATAGAAACGGGTAAAGAGGAGGTCCATGTGCCACCTTCTCAGGGTGAGACTGAAAGTCCCAAGGACGTCCTGTCCGAGGAGATCTGCAGAGTCCACGACAACGGCCTGACGCTGCTTCACGTCATGGTGATCCAGGGAGACGTGGACAAGGTGAAGTTTCTCCTGAGCTGTAGAGCCGATGTGAACAGCCAGGCGGTCTGCGGCTACACCCCGCTCATCATGGCTGTTCAGAGGAGGTCCCCGGAGATCTGCTCGGTGCTGATAGAGCACGACGCGGACATCAACATGCCCGACGAGGATGGTTGGACGCCTCTTCACTTCGCAGCTCAGAATGGGGACGACAGAATTGTCCGCCTCCTGCTGGACCACCAGGCGCAGGTAAATGCTCAGGAGCACGACGGGTGGACCCCCCTGCACTTGGCATCACAGAACAACTTTGAGAACGTGGCCCGCGTGCTGCTGTCGCGCCAGGCTGACTCCAACACCCAGGAGGTAGACGGGAAAACAGCCCTCCACGTGGCAGCCTGCTTTGGGCACGTCAGCTTGGTCAAACTCCTCGCCAGCCAAGGGGCAGACCTGGAGAAGAAGCAGAAGAACCACAGGACGCCGCTTCATGTCGCGGTGGAGCGGGGGAAGTTCAGGGTCGTCCACTACTTGCTGAAGAACGGGGCCTCCGTCAACAGCCTGGATCAAAACCACTACAGCGCCCTGCACCTGGCCGTGGCCAGGGGGAAGTACCTGATCTGCGAGAAGCTCATCAAATATGGAGCCAACGTGGAGCTGAGGACAGACAAAGGCTGGACCCCGCTGCACCTGGCTTCTTTCAAAGGGCACATTGAAATCATCCACCTGCTGAAGGACAGCCACGCCAAGCTGAATGCCAGAGGAAGCATGGACTGGACGCCGCTTCACCTGGCCACTCGCTACAGCGAAGAGCCGGTGGTCTGCGAGCTGCTGAGATGTGGGGCAGACCCCAACATCGCCGAGAAGTCAGAGTGGGCCCCCCTGCACTTTGCAGTCCAGCGGGGCTCCTTTCTGACCGTCATCAACCTGCTGGAGTGCAGGGCAGATGTCAATGCCAAGAACAAAGTGGGCTGGACACCCTTGCACCTTGCTGTCCTCAAGGGCAATATGGCCATTATCAAGACCTTGATTAAGGCCGGTGCTCTGCTGGATGTGGAAGATATTACTGGCTGTACAGCCCTCCAGCTGGCAATTAGACATCAGAAGGAAAATATCATTACGCTGCTCCAAGGCAAGGACTCAATGATGAATAAATCAGGGAATAGGACTCTGGTGAATGATGCTAAGATTTCAAGACCCAGATTTGTTCCAAGAAGGACAGATTTGTAGACTCATCAAGTCTGGCATTTACGACTTGAGTTTTCCAACATCAGGTGCTATGTCTTAAACCACCATCTCCTGGCACCTGCTGATTGCAGGAGATTTTTTTTTTCTTTAATGGAAGTTCCGAAGTATAAACACTAAAAAAGTAAAAGTACACAGAGCTATAGAAGGAAGATGACAAGTTACTTTTGAGAGTCTGACCAAGTTTGTAGAAGTTAATAGTTGAGTCTGATCCAGTTTATAGTTGACTTTGTGATGTTGGCGTTAGGCAATGCTTTCCTGTTGTGATACTCATTGTATCACAATGGAGATGGAAATGGATATATGAACTCCCTTTTTATAAGGACAATGCTGGAACTGCACAGCAGTGCACATATATACATGTCTTCCACAGATTTTATTTCTTTTATTCCATGTTTTCCTACAGAGCAGATTGGTGTAAAATGGCTTGGCACAGGTGGGAATTGAATCTTGAGATTCTCACCTGCTGCTGGAAATAGACACTAAGCATATGGTACAGCAATGTGTCAGATTTTCTGACATCTCATTTTTGTAACAAGAATCTTTATTAAAAATAAAACTAGGAAGAAAAATCACTAGTAAGAACGATTTAAATGGGTGCAACACAGAGAAAAAAAAAAGAAAAGAAAAGAAAACAAAACAAAAAACTTCCTGAATAATTCCACCCCATCCTTTCAGAGAAAATTTTAAAAAGGAGCCAAGAGCTTTTTTTTCATGAACGTTCGAATTATTTATTGACCACCTCCATGGTTCAGGCTTTCAGCACTGAAGCTGTCATTGGAAAGATGGCTTGAAGGACTTGAAGGATAAGCCAAGAAAGGGTGCAGTTCTGGATCCTGTTCTCTGCTGTGAAGGCTGCCAATAACCTCCAGTCCTAGTGACAAAATGCTGTTTTAAGATTTTCACAGGTTAAAAGAGTTCCTTCTTAGAAAAGCAGTATTTAATCTGGGTAACCAAATCTCATGGCCTGCTTTTTTAAAGACACTGAGTAGCTGGGAGCTTACTTTGCATTTCTGTGGGAGCAGTCAGGTGGGGCTTGCTTGCACCCCTTAGCTGCAGGTTATTAGCACACAAGGCTTGATTATCCTTCTGGAAAACATGCAGTCTTCACGGATTTGATCATTTTGGTCTCAGACCCTGCAGTGCTTGCACAGCAGTGCTCAGCAAGTAACAGCCCCCAGCAGCCCTCCTCCAGGTCCCAGCCATCATGCCAACAGGTCATTTTGCCCCAGCAGTGAGCTCTAGAACAATAACTCTGGTAGCTGTGCTCAGCCTGCAAAGCAGCAGAGCTGTGCTGGAGGCTGTGTCTCCTCCAGCTGGATGGCTCTTACTGTTTTCATTTGCTCTGCTGGTGTTCCAGTGCCATCTTTGGTGCTTTACCCACTCAGAAAGGCTGGGTCTTTAGGGTCTCAAGGGTCTTTACCTTGTGTGAGCAGGGTGAATGGTAGAAGACATGGAACTCCTCGAAACAAGCAGAGCTGCCCTAACACCGGGGGGTTGTGCCCAGTAGCTCCCTGCAGGCTCCCTGCAGCTCCCCTGCAGTGTCTGGGGGCTGCTGGTTGTATGGGGAAAGCTGGCAGCTGGCTGGGCAGGACAGAGCAAGGGGGTTGGAACAGAAACATCAGGCTTCAAGTGCTCTGTGGAAATGATGATATATTGTCAAGAGTGAGTCATAACTGTATCTCAGTGCTCGGCACAGCGTGCTTTTCCTTAGATTAGCTTTAACCCACTGAAGCTCTCTGGACTGCGCTAAATAAAAGATCAGGTGGGATGGCTGTAATGACCACGTCTGCTATTAAAAAACTCTTAGTCACTCCTTGCGCATTTATTTTCTTTTGATATGTGACCAGCTGGAGATGTAACGAGGGCTTTGCCTTAAACCAGGCGGAGGGAGGGGGCAGCAGCGTCCTCGACTGGGCTCTGGGCTCTGGAACCTGCCTCGCCTGGTGGGAACAGGGCTGGTGTCTGCAACAAAGCCCTGCTGTTTTCTGCCTTCGGATCCTGAAGGAAACCTTCCCCATTTTTCATATGCCAAAAAGGTTTTCTTCTTCTGGCTGTCTTCAGAAGACTAACTTTATTACAACATGATGGGATGTAATTGACTTTGTTTTCAATTGAACCATTTTCTGTGGGGAAATGGATGATGTTACTTATGGGGAAAAAAATGAAGTGGTTCATTAACTGCTCCCTAGTAAAACCCAAATACTCTATCTTGATAAGATTAAAAAAAAAAAAAAAGCCTACTTTTTTCATTTTAATTTTTATATTAACTACAGATATTGACTTGAGTTTCCAAAGAGCTGGAGGAGGATGGGGACTTACAGGGTGGGTTCAGAGGCTGCCGTAAGTGAGACAAAAGAACTCTGTAGCCTGTGCCCTTTGTGCAGTATGGGGTGAAGCCTTTATCAGATGGTGTTGTTATCTCTTCAGTTTCCTTCCTTCCTTTCCCCAGTTACATCTCCCTAGGGGACGCCTTGTGCAGTGTGGAGCCTGTATATATACCTCAGCTGTATCATTTCAGACAGACCTTCAGTGGCTGTTCATGGATGAGCTTCCCTTTGTAAGGATGAAGCACTGTGTGCAGAGAGAGCATCTGCAGAACTGCCCTGCAGGTGACCGAGGAGCTTCATTTGCCCAGTACTGTCCCCAAGCTTTTCTCCACCATGCGAGTAGTTCCCCAACAAGGAGCTAAACCCATCTGTTCAGCTTTGGAGCCCAGTTCTGGAATTCCGAGTTGTTTCCCAACATTGGCTGCTAAATGCGCCCTCCCTGATGGGAGCTTGAAATTCAAAGCAGTTTTACTGCATCATGTGGACAGCAAAACCATGGCAAATATCTTCTGCTTCTCATGGGTTTGTGTTGCAGGGGAGTAAAAAGGACAACATCTCTGCATGCGTCCTGCAATTGTTACGGTTACTTCTTGGGCGTGCTGGAGACAAACTCACTGCACTGTTATCAACAACAGCAAAGCTGGGAATGGCTGCCTGGCTAAAATGCCACCACCATGCTCCGTGACTGGTGGAGAGGACGGGTGTCTGCCCTGGGGACAAGCAGCATTTGCAGGGGTCCCACTGGCCGTGGCGATGCCCAAGGCCCCTATGCTGTGCCACCACAGCGCTCCTCACCACGAGCCTCACGCAGAGGGGTGGCAGCAGCAAAGCGGAAGCTTTGCCTCTAATTAAAATGTCTTGTTTCTCATTCTCAAACAGCTTGGAAACCTCTTGCTGAGACCTAAGCTGTTTAGCTGTTGTTAAGCTGTCAGAAGCATAACATTAAAGAAGGATGAGGCGCAGACAGATAGCTCTCCCTTGGTGTGACATTTTTACTCCAACACCACTTTGAAGATGTTTTTCTTAGCAGTGATGCTTGAAATTCTGCGAGATGATGGATGTGGCTGGCAGCAGACATGTCTGTCTCCCTGCACTGGTAGCGTCTTGCTAATGAAAAAATCCAACAACCCAAAAAATAACCCAAACCATCAGTGGTAACTGAAGTAAGTCGGGGGGGAGGACTGTTGATGTGCATTCCCAGGGGCCCGGATTTGTGACAGGAACCTCTGGTGTTCATTTGATGTGTTATAATCTCCAAATAGAGAGGCAGAGGGAGAAAAGTGAGGCATGAAGGACGGGCTCCCGCCTGCACACAGGGCCTGTGTCCCAGCCTGTGTTGTTGTGGCTTTCAGCAAGGGGCAGGGACATAGGAGCTCGCTGCCTTGTGTCTTATCCATATGTTTTGGCTTCTTTGCTGACCTCTGTACTCCTACATGTGATGGCATTTGTTATGATGATAGGGGAGAAGCAACGAGGGAATGTGTTAATGTGTAAAATTAAGAGTTTTTTAAATATTAGTGATTTTTTATTATTATTATTTTTTTTTTACCTATTCAGCCTTGATGTAAGCCCATGTCACATGAGCTTTTCTTGCTTACTTCCTTCTCTTCTCAGGGACACAGATGTGACATTACCGCTCTGCTTTCAGGTAGCTGAACTGAAGGCTGTAGGACAGTAGCATCCCTGACAAATGCTGAGCAATGACAGGCATTCAATCTTTAATTATTCAGTAATGATGGTGCCACCTGAGGGTTTATTTTTGAAGTTTGTGGCCAGCTCTCGAAACCCTGTGGCTGAGATGTGGAAAAGACTGCCTGTGTGTCTTTGGCAAGCCAGCTGCTGAGCTCGAGCAGAGCTCGTGGCAGTGCCGCAGCCGCCTGCCGGGCGGGAGGAGAGGCAGCTGCTCTCAGCTGCCACTTGGGGAAAATGGAAAATTAGGGGGCACGGGTTTGGTTTTCACACAAGAGACAGCCTAGATGCTGCTTTGAGAACCCTTGTGTTGGTAACATAAATTGTAATTATTATAATGCCTTCAGACATAATTTGTGTAACTGCAGATGCTGCTAATCTCATGAGTTGATAGATTTTATCCAGGATTATCAGCTAATTATATGAAGCAACCAAGATGCTGAGAAACAGGGGATCAGCCTAGAATACATGTAAATCTTCTCTTCAAAACATGCAGAGAGGCAAACAAGGAGAGGTGCCTTGGTCCTGCTCTGCGGAGCAGGGAGGATGCTGCACGTGTTGCTTGGTAACTGGCCCCGTAAAGCCCAGGGCAGCTGCGTCCCTCTGGGAACAGCTCCAACACCTTGCTCTGAGGGCACCCACAGCAGAAGGCATCAGTGAGGCAGCGGTGTTTGTCTGAGCCCTAGTGCAGGGAGGATCCTCAAATGCCAATTTCCCCAGAAAAAGTGAGATGCTTCTGGATTCCTTTCTGCTGTGGTGCTGAGAGCTGCTGTAATTCTCCTGATTTCCTCGGGGATGTTCTGCAAAGTGGGAGCTGCAGCATTGAACCAAGGAGGAGAGGAGTGGCTGGAGGCACTTCGGCCTCTTGGGCATCCCCATGGGGCTCCTGCACTCAGCTTTGGTGGCACAGATTGACCTGGGGGGAGCAAAGTGCTTAATCTCATTTGAAAATTAACACGGAATAAAGAAATGCAATTGCCACATAATTCAGCAGCTCATTTCTATCATCGCTCTGATAGAAAAACAAAACTCAGCTCGTATGTCATAGAGCGTTCTCCAGAAGAGCTTAATTAAATTTATAATGAAAATAACAGGGGATTAAGAAGGCACAAGGGAAATGTATTCCTCTTACAGAGCATTACGGAGGTGATAGAAGCACTTTTCAGAGAAAATTACCTGTTTGCTGCTCAGTTTCTATAGAAATTAAATGAGTCTTTACAAACTCTGGAAAACTGCATTCCAACCCCCGCTTTGTGACTGTGCAACTTGCAGCTTGTTATTTCTAAAATTAATCGTGGGTCTCCATCCCCCCTTTTCCCTTGTTCAAATACATTTTAGTCTTTTGTCCCTGCTGATAAATATACGGATGATTATATCATGTTCTGAACCACGGGCTGCCAACGCTGACAGCCGAGGCAGCACATCAGCTGTGCCTTTCGAAAGGAGCAGTAGCAGGACGTAAATCTTCCAAACAGCTCATTGCTGGAGTGCACCACTTTGACTCCTTTAAAGACCTATGTCATTGCGCCTAAAGCCTCACGAAAATCATGTCTTTAAAGTATCCAAAGCCGCTTGGGAGAACGCAGAGCAGTGCTGCTCACTGCCCCGATACACAACACAGTCCTGTTGTGTTTCTCATTTTCTGCAGCGCTATTATATTTTATTATTATTGCAATAGAAGAAAAGCTTTTATTGCAGCCACCGTGTGAGGACCACATAGTGAGTGGGATTGGATGAGGCTTTCCCAGCATCTAATTTCTGCACTCGAGCTGGGAAGGTCACTGCTCTGCTAATATTTGTAAAAGGCGCTGAGGTTTGTGGATGGAAAGCAAGGAAGGAGTGCCAAGTTTTATTTCCCATCAGCCTGTGTAGGCCAAACTTAACCTGGCTCTTTTTGGACCTATGTGCTTGGAAATTAACTTCCCCTTTTCCATCTGAAAAGTGCCATTGATAAGTGGTGCCGAGCAGCACGCTCCTGTCAGTGATCCTAGATGGCAGGGCTCCCTGTGATGTTGTTATTCACAACAGACCTGCACTGAGAGCAACTTCTGCATCCTGCTGAGAGATTGAGGCTGGAGGGAAACTTCTGAGTTTGTTCTGGGCATGGGGTGGATGTGATGGGTGCACCTTTCCTCACTGAGTGGCTTTTCCCTTCTGGTCACAGCTGCTCTAGAGAATAAATTGCAAGCAGCCAAGAGCTGAGAAGAATTTGGACCTGGAGCTCAAGCTGGCAGCACAAAGAAGTGCTACAACCCTCCAGGTCGGCTGCAGCTTGAAGAAGGGAAAGCAGTCCCCATGAGGCCGCCCCGGGTGACCCACAGAGAATGGATGCTTTTTTGTACCTGGTTGCAAACCACAACCCCAAGCAGCTTCCTCCCGCAGTGGGTGCTTTGTGTCAGGGTTTCTGTGGAGTTGTGCTTGAGGCAGGATGGCTCAGGAGTGCTCCAACACCCCTATCCTGTGCATTGCCCCCACTGCTGGGCTGGTTCCAAACCAACCCTCCCCAAAACTCCTTTCCTTGTCGCTCAAACCCCTTGGGAAATGCAATGCTTTACAGAGCAAGGGGGCAACGTTCAGATTACATCAGCGCTGTGCGTGGTACAAAAAGGACCTAATGTGTCTGAAACTCGGGTTTTCTGTGATTTGTACTTGTGAAGCTGAAAAGCTAAAGCCAGACAGGCTGAACCTCTGTCAGCTGGCACCTCACAGAGTTATAGATGTGTAAGGGTAATGGGTGTAATTCATTCCCAGTCTGATTTCACAGTGTTTTCCATTTACTTAGCATTACGCTTGCAGAAGATGTTGAAGGATCAGCTCCAGAGGCAACTGGGTTCATACACAATTTCAGATGCCTTTAGTTAATTAAATGCTTGCTGCTGAAATGCAGAGGGTGGAGGGGTGCTTTTAAAGTATTTCTATTCAGGTCCAGTCACAAGACTGGACCCCAGCAGCTTCTACTAGCTCTTCAATAAATAAATAATAATAAATAAATAAATAAATAAACACTGTGGTCACTTATTTTTTCAGTTGGATGTTTTATTTCCCTTTGCACTGGGTTGGAGGCACCACTGACCTCGATCCTATTTGCTCTTCCTGCAGCAGTCCTCACTCAATTAACCACACTGGT